CCGCCTGCCCCCTCCCTTCCAGGGTTTGGCGGCCCCTCCAGCAGCGCTGGCATGGGTTTGCGTGGCAGCCATGGCAGCTCGGAGGGGCCACGGTTCCCCAGCATCCCTGCTGGGAAGGAGCCTTCGCTGGGGAACGAGCTGCAGTGCCTGCGGGGAGGTGTCAGCCCTGAGGGCAGGCAGAGCCTGCTGCTGCTGGAGAGGAGCTGTCTGGAGTAGGGAGCACTGGGGGTCGAGGGCTCGCAGCGCAGCGCTGAGCCTGGGTGCTGCCGTGACAGACAGGGCGGTCAGACTCCTTCGTGGAAATCAAAACGGTAAAATACTAGACTATCTCAGAGATTACTCACCAAGAATGCACTGCAGCTGCTGTTAAAGATAATCTATCAGCAGATTGCCTCTTTTGCAAAATGTTCTGGTGGGGCGTTTTAACATCATTTGCTTATCACCTCATATTCTGTTCCTCAGAAAGCTGGGAATTAGACAGGAAAGGGAGGGGAGAATGAGGATGCTTCCAGGGCCAAAGCTCATCATCCTGCCTCTGTCTCTTCCAGCACAGGATACCCTCAGCCTGTAGGTTCAGACCTTATAGTACTCGAAGCCTTTCCTGCAGATCAGCTGGAGGATGGGAAAGGCTTGAATGTGGCATTTATGCTGTCTCTAAAGAGAGTCTGGCAGTTCACGGGCTTGGTACGCTTTGTCTCCTGTTTGTCTGTGGAATAGGTTGTTAGCCCTGCCTGCCATGGGTATGGGAAGGGGTGCATCTGTTGTCTGGTGTGATCCTTTATAATCTCCAGAATAGTTTGCCATTCAAGCCTTTCTTGGTATGCAAAAGTGAGCGTGCATATTTTGGGAGAAAATAAAATTTGAATTTTTCTTTTTATTTAAGGCTTGCAACAAAGAAGACGACTCGCTGCTCCACAAACCTCTTGCTCTGGGTCACGGTGCTCTCTGCGAGCACGCCGAGTCAAGTGAAATTCATGTCTGAGGACCAGTTATCGGGGCAGGATGGAGAGCTTGGGCTTGCAAGCAGTGACCCTTAGTGACTAGGGTAACAGTTCCTTTGGGCTGTGAGGTCTAAAAGTCTCTTGACTGACCCTGTGAAATTAAAGTCAGGCTTATCAAAAGTGCCCTCATGGCACGCGAACATCTTGTATGGTTGCTCTGTACAGGAAGCTGGCGCCTGTCTGTTAGATGTGTACAGAAGAGTGATGCAGCAGAAATAAAACATGCCTCTGGTTTGGAAATAAATCCCTGGAGATGGGAGAGCTGTTGCTGTAGGAAAGTTCTGTTCAGACTAGAGTGAGCCCTGTTCTCCCCAGGGTAACTGGGGAAACGGAGTTCACGCTATGCCTGCAGGACTCTATTCAACCAGAACTTCCCCTGAAGCTAAACAGGATGTTTTCCTTCACCAAGACGCATAGAATTTGGTTCACAGTCAGGCTTTCCTCACTTAAAGGGCTGCTGAGCTTGGCGGTGGTTAACTGAAGCGATACCAGTGCCAAATTCAACACCTGCCCTTATTTTGGTGTTTGTGAGATGCTGCTGCTTTCACCGCCCACTGTTCCTGAGAAGAGGAACGCGCTGTTTCCCAGCCTGCGGAGCAGGACTGTTGAGTTGCAAGGCTTCGTGCCCTGGGGATTGCTCTCACTTTCTTCTCTGTGTGAACTTACTGCAAGTTTATTACGTGCGTGGAGTTGGACTATCTTGAAAACCACTGGGTTTTGTGGTGCCCACAAACTGTGCACCAGGCGAAAGCAACCTGGATTCCTCATGTTACAGTAGGGTAGAGCAATGTCCTCTCTGCACCAAAATAATTTGGTAACTAAAACATTATTGCAGGGTTACTCAGAGTGATGTTACTTTAAAAGTCCAGTCTTCACAACCCATCAAGGGCACCGACACTTTAGGTCCCATAATTTTTTTCCAAGAGCTGATCCTCCATCAAAGTAGAAGAAAATAAATCTTCAGGCTCCTGCTGATGCCATTAAAAGCTCCCAGTGATTTTTTTTCTCCAGTACAAGTGTAATTGCTTTCTGCTTTAGATCCAAAATGCTTAGTGCGCATCATTCCTTCTGCTTCTTGGCTCACAGGGCTGTGAAGGGCAGCTTGTAAACAAGTGGTGACTGAGGTTCTTTGTCTTGTATCCTCCTGTCTAGGAAAGGGAGGCTCCAGCGTTTCTGGGACTTTAAATGCCTCTATGGCTATTCAGGGGGAAAGCTGGATAAATAACAGCTTATAAGCAACAGTTTTGCTGTGGGACTAGTTTCCTTGAGAAGATGTGGCAAAGGGGACAGCTCGTGGGACCAGAGAGCCTGGACTCTGCCGGTGGTGCTGATGGCATTTTTTTAACTGTTTCAGGTGAAAAGCTGATTGAAGGGCAGGTCATTGAACTTGAAGATGGGACCACAGCTTACATCCATCAGGTGACAGTTCAGAAAGGTGAGGACCATAAATTCACGTTGTAGATGTAACTGCAATTGTCTGTGTTCCAACAATCAGGCTCCTTTATTGCCTCGAGCTTTAAGACATTCATTTTTTTTTCTTGACTGTGGTTTCGAGGCTGAATGAGCAAGGACACAGAACATGTGATTTCCTGCAAAGTTTTTAGCAATCTGACAAGAAGGCAAATTTGCTGGTGATGTAAGCAAATGTTGAAGTGTTGTTTCACCTGTGGGCTCTCACACAGTTGTCAGCCTGACAGATCACAAGTCTACAAGCAACGCCAGTAAGCTGCGGGCTGTCTTTGTGCCAGCTACAGAGCCCAAACAAAGTTTGTTTCGTGTGGGAGCAGCTGGACAGGAATTTCCTCTGAACTATGAGATAATATATTACTTCTGGAGTAGGTGTTTGGGGGAGGAGGGAGGACATCGTTGGAAGAAATGTCATCTTGGTCATTGGCCCATCTGCCAATGTCACCTTTGAAATGAGGTGGCGTTAATTAATCTGAGAGATAATGGGAATTCATTTCATGTGACAGAAACCAGAGTGGCAAGAGGAGTCCTCCCCAGCCACAATAAGGTGTGAACAGGCAGGTAGAAAGAACTCTGTTGCTCTGGGCAGTCCTCCCTTCGCCCTCCCAAGTTCCTTGTATGCCACCTCCCTTTTCTGTTCTTAAAAGGTTGCGTGAAACCTACTGTGTGTGGATTTTTCTTCTGTTCTTTCAGAATCTGTGGCTTTTGAAGACGGTCAGCCAGTAGTGTTGGAAGATGGCAGTATGGCCTACGTACACAACACAGCTAAAGGTAAAGTGTGTTCCCTGTTTTTCCCTTGGCAGCTGGAGCAGGAGCTGCTAAAGCGTCATAGATTTTGAGGGCTGTAGGTAGCCCAGGGAGATGAAGAGCTCCTCGCACTCAGCACCTCTCTTACATTTGATTTTATTGGTTTCCTCTTGCAGGAAGTTATGACCCCGGCACCTTTGAGGCCATCCAGCTGGAAGATGGCTCCACTGCTTACATACATCGTCCTGTCATCGTGCCGCCTGGCAGCACCATCCTGGAAGTGCAGGCAGAAACTGGGCTAGAGGCGTTGGCTGGAGAGGAGGAAGATGATGCCCTTGATGTCGAGACTGTTCATGCGTTAGAGCAGTACACGAGCAAGGTGAGGACACAACGCTGCTTTCATGGTCTGCCAGCAGCACTGCGGGGCTGGTCTAGTAGTCCGCCTTTGGCCTGGGCTTTAAGCGTCCTCCCTTCATTAGTACTTCTGTATATTTGTTTTTCACTCCTGTGAGTGCCATCACTGACAGGTGGCTGCCAGTTAAGGACCTAGAATGGAGCAGTCTCTCCCCTCTAGCTAGCTCGGCAGAGTACTGGGCCTACCACCCTGCCCTGCTGCAGGCACAGACTTGGGAAGAGCAGAGAGCTGCTGTGATACAGCTTGGATTTTTTTCTTGCTTTAAATGTCCCTCCTTGTAGGTGTTTTCTTTCTGTTTGCCTGGGTTTATCATAATGCCACCTGGGTACGATGTTCTCCTCCACAGATGATTCAGGCCACAGATCAAGACTAGCCTTTTACGTGTCAGGAGTGGCTAAGTTGTGACCACTGTTCCCCTTGGTGGCAAAGGCCTCAAAAACCGTAGTAGTTTCAGACACCAACGTGTCGTTGCTGCAGCGCTCCATCTGAATGTCTTGGGTGCTGCCGTTTTCTCCCGTCTTGCTGGTGGTGTGTGAGGAGAGGCTACCAGGAGTGTGCTGGTACAGTGCTCAGCGTTCACATTCGCTGATGGAGACCTTTCTGCTGTGGTGGGACCAGCCTCACCTCGCTCTCTGGTGGCACTGCAGACGTGAAAGCCTTCCTGCTTGGGTTGCTCACCTGCTCCACACTGCACAGGGAGGCAGGAACATGCACATGCTTCTTTACTTGCAGGTGTCTGACGAGGAAGAGGAGGGAGTGACAGACACCTGCCATACGAGGAGCGAGGACTCCAGCGACATCCCTTCCCAGGTGTGAATTTTTCAGTGATGCATTTCTGAGACTAGGCCAAACTCCTCTCGATGCAGAGCGCTTTGCCACCTAGTAATTAAAAAAGCTTTGTGGCTTCCCTGCAAGGTTAGCAGATACATTGGCTGCAAGTTTTACAGATGAGTGAAGTGAAGCACAGAGAGGCGAGTTGTGTCTGAGAACACCCAGTGAGTCTAGAAGTGGGAATGGGAAATCCTGGTCCCTAGACTCTTGCCCTGTCACCTGGGTTGCACCATGTGATTTTATACACAAAATGATTCTAGGATGTGTGTAGAAGCTGTGTTTGTAGGAACGTGTTTTTGTGAGGATAACTGGAGGAGCGAATATGTGTAGCAAGGAGGGAAATTATTTGTGTGGGCTTTGCGAAGCCTGCTGTAGCAGCTCGCTGAATTGTTTTCCATGCGCCTCTCGGCAGGATTTGCAGGAGGAGGAAGTGCACAGCAACGAGAAGGGGCAGCAGGTCAGCAGCAGAGCTTTCCGTTGTGGGTACGAAGGCTGTGGCCGCCTCTATACCACCGCCCACCATCTAAAGGTAAAGATGCATGCAGACCAGAGGCATCGCCGTGTTACGGTGCCAGATCAGCACGCTGCTACACAAAAGGCTGAGCTGCGTGCTTGGCTCCCCGAGAGATCCAGAGGTGTTACCTGGCCAAGGTGAAATCCACCAGAGGACTTCCACATTCCCTGCACCAGCTATATGTCTCCATGCTGTTTTTCTTCCTCCTTGTTTTGGACCTCATTTTAGGGACCTGTTCTTTCTATTCCAGGTACACGAACGCGCTCACACAGGTGACCGGCCATACACGTGCGACTTCCCAAGCTGTGGGAAAGCATTTGCTACAGGTAACAGTTTCTCTTTTGAGCAAATTTTGTTTTCTTTCCAGCCCAAACCACTCTTGAGTAGCAGCCATGGCTCTTTTCCAGCAGAGCAGAACGAGCATAGCTTTTAAAGCCTGCTGAAGGTATCGCAGCATGGGAGACTGCCGGGAGTCGATTGATTGTGGACAGATTAAAGGAGTTGCAGGAAGACGCTGCGCTGTCCACGGCGGCGTGAGGCTGTTTGCATATTTCTTCCCCTTCAGCTTTGCAGACACAGGACTGACATTCAAAAATGTGTGAACTGAGAGCTGGTACACAGGTTGCCATATTATTTCCTTCTTGTTGTAGAACTTAATTGTAGTTTCTTTCCTGGACAGGGTACGGGCTGAAGAGCCATGTGAGAACGCATACCGGTGAGAAGCCATACAAGTGTCCAGAAGACATGTGCAGCAAAGCCTTCAAAACCTCGGGGGACCTGCAGAAACACATCCGGACGCACACAGGTGAGCAGTGCAGGAGAGGGACTGGGCTCCCCGTCGAAAGGGTCTCCGAGGTAAAGTACTGCTTCAGCCTTTGTCTGGGATCTGCCTTTTCGTATCTGGGGTGAAGCAAGGCAGAACTGAAGTTGTCTTCAGACAGAAGTAGGTGGGCAGTGGAAGTAGTACGAGGGATTCTTGACTCGGTTACGAACAGAAGAGCAAAAGGGGTGGGGATGCCAATGTTGCTAGAGGAAATCTGCCAGCAGCTGGGTCCGATCTGAGGTCTCGTTGTAATACTGTGGAGGAGGGAAGGGGTGCAGGTGCCTGCGTTGCAGCCGGCCTCTCACCATGTTACTCTGTCTGTGCAGGTGAGCGTCCCTTCAAGTGCCCCTTCGTGGGCTGTGGCCGCTCTTTTACCACGTCCAACATCCGCAAGGTTCACATCCGAACGCACACCGGCGAGAGGCCGTACATGTGTCCGGAGCCCAGCTGCGGAAGGGGCTTCACCAGTGCCACCAATTACAAGAACCACATGAGAATCCACACAGGTAAGAGGGTGAAAGGCAGACGGCTCCTTCCTGGTAAGTCGGCCACACTGAAGGCAGGGAGATGTGTGGGGCTGAGGTGGTCATTTCCAGGCCAGGCATTGCAGGGGTAGATCTGGGGGTAGCCAGGGAGTTAAAGGAAAGAGGAATTGCTTTATTGGCTTGATTATTGTTCCAGTGGTTTGTCTCCAGCCATTCCCTCTTGATGGGGAATCCCTTCCCAGAGCATGAGGAGGACGAGTGGGTTAAGCCCTGCTCTGTGGCCGGGAAAAAAGCCGTACCTATGCCCTGTGCGGGGCTGTGGCAAGCGCTTCACGGTGTCCCCCAGCCTCTACAAGCACCATGTGGTCCACACGCACTGCAAGCCCTACACCTGCAGTAGCTGTGGGAAGACCTACCGCCAGACCTCCACGCTGGCCATGCACAAGCGCAGCAGCCACGGCGAGCTGGAGGCCACGGAGGAGAGCGAACAGGCCCTCTACGAACAGCAGCAGCTGGAGGGTGAGCAGCCACTCTGCCGTGCCCTGCGGCAGACTTGGGTCGGGCTGTGCGGCAAAGGGGAGAGAGATGACAGGGAGGGCCTGCAGCTGCTCTGCTCTCAGAGCTGGGTCTGTGCTGTGGCCTCCTGCCTCCCCCATTCGAACCCAGGTCTGTCACAGATGAGAGAAAAGGGCTCCCCATGGTCACAGAATCCCAGCATGGCAGGGGTTGGAAGGGACCTCTGTGGGT